TGGGCTGCAGGGAGGGCGGGACCTGAGGGTGGGCTGCCTTCCACCACACTGTCCAGGAAGACACGTGCGAGGTCAAGCCAGCCTGTCCCACAGCCCTGAGCCACCCTCCTCCCCGCCGCAGCCTCCATCCCTCTGCGGCCAGGCATCCTTCCCCAGAGCTACCGCTCAACACCACCCGACGCAGAAACCCAAAATCAACTTCCACGTAAAACTCCGGACACAGTTTGGGCACTCCCTTTCTTTTTTTTAGGCCATTACCAGAAATACAGACAATGAACCTTGAAGGGACCCACGTGCTTCCGACTGGTTGAGCTCCACGACCCAGGAGCGCACTAAGCCTCCAGGTCGCTCCTGCTGGGACCCGCATCCATGGTGCATGCTCTGCCGTGGAGGTGAGGACCAGCCCTGTCTGGGAGCCCCTCGCGGGGCCCCGGGAAGGTCCTGTCCTCAGGCAACTGTGAGAGCTGAACCCGCCAAGAAGGGCTGCCAGCCGCAGGAGCAGCGCTGCCGGGAGAATGAGACCAGCCCGAATGCCACCTGGTGGGTGAGCCACCCTTCCGAGGGGGTACAGCCTGAGCTGCTGGCTAATGAGTCCCAGCCCCCAGCCTACTGCCAGACCATTCAGGAAACAGCCAGAACCTGCCTGCCAGTTCACCCCGACTAAAATGGGGGATGTGAACCAACCAAAGTTATGTTCAAAGTCCCACTGACGACAGGCAACGCAGACCTGAAAGTCTGTGCACACAGGCAGGGAAAGAGAGACCTTGGCCCAGGGCTCAAAGAGACACCAAGTGAGCAGGGCAGGTGCAGAGCGAGGCCAGCAGGTTGCTCTCTCCTCAGAGATCTCAAGTCAACTGTGTACCAGCACTCAGGCCTCCCACGGGGAACAAGGGGCAGCACCCTCTGAGGGAGAAAGACCAGCCCCGCCCCAGACGACCCCCTGTGGCCTCAGGAAATGCCGCCCAGCAGGAGAAACTTAAGCCCCAGCCCATCCTTTCTGCACAGAGTGCCTGCTCATTGCCTATTCAGCCCACTCTCCTCTTCCCCTTCCTGGTGACCCCAATCCTCCTTTGGAGGACCATACTCCCGGCAGTTGGGGAGTAGCCGAGTTTTCTGGGTGGGGTGCCTCAGTTTCCTTCCGAGTGGCCCTACTTGGCCTAACCCTACACGCAGCCTGGGGCCCCTGCGCGACGGTTATGCTGGGATGGGCAGGACACAGTGGCACCCATGACCCGCCTCAGTCAGATCACACTGTGGGACAAGGGAACCCAGAGCCCAGGTCTGCTGCAGCTGCCGCCTCCAACACAGCTGGTCACCGGGAAGGCAAAGTTAGAAAAGCAGGAAGAAAGGGGGCTGGGGTCCCAAACAAGCCACATTTGACACTGGGAGCCACCGACACCCTTCACGGTCTAGGCCCAGGTGGCTGGGCCCGCTGGTACTTCCAGCCCGGTGCATCCCGACCGCACACCCTCACGTGGCCAGAAGAACGCGTCCACACGAGCATCTGCCCATGCTGGACTTCTCACCCCGTCAGTGCTGATAATTAACGGCCTCGACACCGGAGACCCTCAGCACACCGCAAAACCTGGCAGGGAGGACACCACCGCAGCCAGGACTCCCGGGCTCCAGAATCTCCACGTGGGCAAGTTGGAACCAAAACATGCACAGTCCTCACGGCTAAGTGCCAGCAGACAGGGGAAGCCAGCACATTCAACTAACTTCACGGCGAAGGTCGCTCATCACAAACGGCGACACAGTGCAGAAGGCAGAGTTGCCGCTCGTGCCGGTGACTACAGGGCAGCGGGGCGCGCAGGATTCTAAAACCAGAAATCAGAACCGAGCTCAGTTTTTTTTCCCCTACAGCTCAGTCCTCAAATTTAGTCCCATCTTAAAAATGTTTCCTTCCGCCGGGCGCGGTGGCTCACGCCTGTAATCCTAGCACTCTGGGAGGCCAAGGCGGGCGGATTGTTTGAGCTCAGGAGTTCGAAACCAGCCTGAGCAAGAGCGAGACCCCGTCCCTACTAAAAATAGAAGGAAATTAATTGGACAACTAAAAATATATAGAAAAAATTAGCCAGGCATGGTGGCGCATGCCTGTAGTCCCAGCTACTCGGGAGGCTGAGGCAGGAGGATCGCTTGAGCCCAGGAATGTGAGGTTGCTGTGAGCTAGGCTGATGCCATGGCACTCACTCTAGCCCAGGCAAAAGAGTGAGACTCTGTCTCAAAAAAAAAAATAAATAAATAAATAAAAATGTTTCCTTCCAAATATGAAAATTTTTAGGTTACATTCTGAAACTGTCAGTTATACTAGCCTTACTTAACAGGATAATTTTACGGCATGTTCTGCCCTAAAAAGCTTGCTAAACAAATAGCGTTTGGCTAAAAACAAGGAGCAAAAGGAAAAAAAAATTACCTCCAACAGTTCATCTTGAATCATATCACTGAAACTGAATGAGCTTAAACCTTAGAAATGTTTAATCCTGTGTCTGCTAGCAAGTAGCCAATTTTTCTGTCACAGTAAACTTCAAGAACCAATCCAGGTTTTTAATAACTCCCCGGGAGAGTCCCAGCACTTGGGGATGTGTTTTCAGACTCTTGATTAAATCAGCAGGGGTCACACGGGTTGCAGGCTTTCACAGTCACGCAGGCCGGAGTCTCCAGTCACCAGCTTTGGGGAAATGAGCGGGAAACCAAGCGATCTGCTCACAAGTGCAACAGATGCCAACCCGCAAGCCAAATAAGCCTCCAGGAACCACGCAGGGATTACAGAGAAAAAAAGAATGAAGAAGCAGGTTTCCGAGCGGTGGCAGCTTCTCACGGCACCAGACTGCTCCTCCCCAGGCTGCACGGGTGCCTGCACTGCACACCGTGGGGACCCGGGACACCCCCGGCAGCTGTGGACTGACAGCATAGCAGCACTAACACACTTTGCTGGCAGGGACGAGGCCCAATCTAACCAAAGCCTCAGGAAGTGTTCAAAGTACTCTCAAGACCCCATACAAACTTCCTCGCCACTATTTCTCAGCCCCCAGGGAGGACCTCAGAAGATCATTATAGGCTGGGTATGGTGGCCTGTAATCCCAGCATTCTGGGAGGCCGAGGCTGGAGGATCTCTTGAGCTCAGGAGTTTGAGAGCAGCCTGAGCGAGACTAAGACTTGGTCTCTAATGAAAACAGAAAAATCAGCCGGGCGTGGTGGCACATGCCTGTAGTTCCAGCTACTCGGGAGGCTGAGGCAGGAGGATCGGTTGAGCCCAGGAGTTTGAGGTTGCTGTGAGCTAGGCTGATGCCACAGCACTCTAGCCCGGGCAACAGAGCCAGACTCTGTCTCAAAAATAAATAAATGAATAATTTTTAAAAAGTTCTCTCCTCCCTTAATTATGCCCAAAGGATTATGTCTACCAGGTAGCTCTATCTTCTGTGTAAAAGAAGGGATGAGACTGAATCCGAGGGCTGTGACAGCCTGGGAGCTGGGACTTCATCATCCTCCCTGTGATCCCTGCGTGGTTACCGGAGCTGCCTTTTACTGCTCAAGGGTAAAGTCTAAATATCATCACGACTTCTAAGAATTCCACCGTTCCCAATGACTCACAAAGCCATACACTTCAGTCTGTTCTCAATGAAAGTATCCTCCACATTGCAAACAGAGAAAGTACCTTGCCCGACAAAGACAAGGCGATTAAAAAAAAAAAAAAAAAGTACCTGGTGTGCAGCATCACGGGAAAGACACAGAATCACAATCACACCACAGCAGCGGCAGGACGCTCCGCTGGGCCGGAGACACGGCCGCACGCGGCCACACGTCCCTTGCTCGTTTGTCAGGTCTCGGAGGTGAGCACAGAAAACGGACCCCTCGTGCCGGACTCACCTGAAGTCTCTGCCTTCGCTGTACCGTCTACTGGAGGAGGCCCTCGGGGCAGCCGTCTCCAGGAGCAGCTTCTGAGTGAGCCTGCTGGGGGGGGCAGGGTCTCTGCCTCCATCCTCCTCGAGGTCTTGGCCACACCTCCACTCCTCATCCTCGTTCAAGGTGGGCAGGTACCCAGACATGCCCTTCCCTGTCCCCGACCCAGAGCTCTGGTCACTGAGGACCTTCGGGCTCTCTGAGCCCGTCCTCGTATACTCCAGATAAATGTCGGACTTGAGGAAGGCGGGGTAGGTGTTCTCCTCCATGGTGGACTGGATTTCTGTCTGCGCCTGGTCGAACATGGCGGGGTCGATCTGCTGCTTCACGATGCAGTCCTTTATGAAGCTCTTGGTGGCTGGCTTGGTCTGGCGGGACACGATGCCACTGTGATCGAGGATGTACTTTCGGTAGATGGCTCTTGCCAGCTTCAGCCTCTTCTCCTCATTCGAGTCGCAGGGCTCCAGCTTCCGGAAGCCACTGCAGGCGAACCAGAAGTCCAGCAGGTCGGCACAACCCTCCTGCTTCAGGAAAGTCCTGAACAGGCTTATCCCATCTTGGTCGTCCAGCAGGGAGTGCAGGGACTCGGCCCACTTCAAGTACGGCGGCGTGGGTGAAGCGCTGCCCTCAGGCTCATACCCCAGGTCCAGATCCGAGCGCCTCGGAGTGGCTGTTGAAGTCTCACCTTTAATGCCGGCACCTTTCCCAGAGCAGAAGCCGTGGCCAACGGGCCTGGGGTCTGTGGATGCCAGTTCTCCCTCCTCACCAGGCACTGGGGGCCGGGGGGCATCTTCGGTGAAACTCGCTCCGAGGTCCAAGGGGAAACCCTGCTCTTGGACATTCATTTTGGGACTCTGAGTCAATGAACAATGAGCGCTGCACCCTAATACATCAGTACTTACAGCTCCAAAGTGAATCAAGCTGTCCTGTTGAAACCATTAAGAGGACAAGGATTAGGAAAGGTGGGTCCATGGACATACGACCAGAGGTTTTCTCAAGACAAGACTCGCAACGAAGCCCTCCCGCTCAGACTCAAAGCCAGAAACTCACTTTAAATGTTCAATCAAGACATACTTTGGCCATGAGGTTTGCTCTGCATTAAAACAATTTCTGGAAACTTTTACAACTACAGAATGCTTCTCGCACTGAGAAGCGAATGCCCAGAGCACGGAGAACGCCACTGCCCTCCAGTGCCACAGCCGCCTGAGGACCTCCGGCTGCAGCTGACGAGCCAAGCGGCAAGGCAGGAAGGCTGGATGAAGGAAGGTGCTTCTCATCCCGACTGCTGTGCAAGTCTGAGATGCCCCAGCGACACTCAGAGAAAGAAAAGGAGGCACAACAAAGCCCCTGGGCAGGTGGGCATCCTCTGAGTCCCATGTCCCCAAGGCCATGGCCAGTGCTATCTGCCTGCTGCGCCACCTCATGCGTGGTACGCCTCGCAACACGTGCGAACACCACAAGGCGCACCTCCAACTCTCAGCATGCACCTAAACAGTGGTCAATTGTGGGTCGCCTTCGGCACCACTGACTGAGATCAAAGGACACCACCCGTGCACACGAGGTGTTCTGCCGTCACCAACGCAGACAATCTTAAAAACGCTTCTGTCAGAAAGCAGCACTGTTAGAGCCTCTCTTATAGGAAAACGTCCTTCTGATAGCAAATGGGTACTTGAAGGAACAGAGAAGGTACAGAAAAAATGAAATACAATTACACGTTTTAGCTAAGGAAGCATATAGTTCATAGGATTTAACTCTGTAAGCTGAAAATCAAACCACCCACCCTCTTAAAAGTCCTGGAACGAAGGATTTTGTTGCTGTTACTGCCTGCACGGGGTATGCGAAAGAGACTGGATCAGGACTCAGAGCCCTCCACCAGGGTGTCTGGTCCTCCCTGCCACAACCTGCAGCAGCCTACAGCACCCACAAGCTCTGGCTGTGCCTCTCAACCCAGCCAAGGGGGGTGAGTGCCACGCGGCCTGCCGTGATGTCCGTGGCCCAGGCTACGAGTGGGCTGGAGAGAGAGCATTCATGGGGCGTGTCAGGTTCAAATGCCTGGAGCACTGAACAAGCCAGAGGCTGCAAAATAAAACCAACACAGAGTGGCTCTCCCTGGCCACCACCACACGCTGCTGAGCCCTGGCCTGCACGTGCTCTGTCCCCCACACCTAGGTCCTCACCTGCCAACAGCTGCTGACAGCTAAAAGCAAAAAGCAGCCATAGATGGCGGACGGTAACAATTACGTGCCCCAAATGACATTTCTGCTGCTAACGACTTTCTACGAAAACTACTGGGTAGGCTGCAATCTTGGCCTCAGCAGGAACCGTCTGTTTCTTAAGGTCAAGGCCCAGTGGGCTGTGGCACCCTGCTACCTACAGAGCATGTCACCTGCAGTCGCCTTCTCGTGAGCCACACCAGCATGGAGAGAGCTCCACACCACCTTGTGGACATCAACGTCCTCTGTCCAGGACACCATCACAGGAAGGGGGGCCTGCACCCCTGACCACCTGAGCCATACCCTGAGAGATTCCCCGCAGTTCATTAGGTTTAAGAACAAACCGAGTCCCTAGAAACCGAAAAGTAACTGGCCAGAGAATGTGTTCAAACGAGATCTAATCCCAAGTCACCATCCCTTTCTCCAAAGCGCTTATGTCTTCTCTACATAAAGTATTTGTAGCAGCAGGACCCACAGCACACAAGGTCTCGCAACTAACGGGCACCAATAAATATTTAATGCATCAACAACAACAAGAAAGACACCAGTCACAAATGCCAAACATTGGCTCTTTACAGATGCTGAACTACTGTGCTACAGAAACAGCAGCAAATTCAAGACCTAGCCCTTGATGACAAGACTGCACTTCAAAACTAGCATTTTAATTCATGTGAACAAGTCTACCCTAATCATTTTAAACTGTTTTCCAGAGCCCAGAAGAAAAATTTCTTACTATTCACATCTGTTTGGGGCTGTCAACTGACAGAAGAGTTTTTGGTGAACCTGGAAGCACAGGAACCACTCTACAAATCACTGACCTTGTTGAAACACCCCAATTGCTGAAATCTCCAGACTCCACAGGGAAGCACACTAAACATTTAGCGTACATACACGTACACGCCACACACAAAGCAGTTATATTAACTCAGGTTAGAGTCAAATACCCACGAGCACCAAATCTGGCCCATGGCCTGTAACCACCATCAATAAAGTGATTCCATAAAAGGAATCCACAAGTCTGATACCATTTTTAAAATTCCCTTTAGTCACTGCCCAGGGCATACACCCTGAGCATGATGACAGCACGCTACATACAATTCTTTATACATACACACACACACACACACACACACACACACTGATTTGACTCAAACGTAACTGTTGATCTTTTGATTTATGTGGCATGTGGAAGTAACAGAGCATGACTCAGACATTTTCCCAACTATCCACTGATTAAACTCTCAAAGGGTTAGGGCTACTGTTTTACATGTAACCCATTCCCCCATCATCTAAATTCTCAATGACCAGTATAACCCACAAAAGTCCACTTGGCTTTTCTGAAACTAGAAATCCAAGACAAGCCAACATCTGCTGAAAATCAAACAAAACACCGTGTTTTGCATGCTTTCTCATCCTTGTTCTCTGAATGGAAGTGCTTAAAACTGAAACCGAGCTACTGCTCTCTCGGGTAGTCAGGTTTGGACTGTATGTGTTCTCCAAAGCGGGGCCTGTAGATCCAAGTAAGCCTGAGATTCTTCCAGAAAAAGCAGAAAAGGTAAGCGTGAGAAAAAGGAGGAGCCAAAATGCACATTAAGAACCTTTTCTAAGTTATCTTAGAGATGGCTTAGAAAAAACCCCAGAGGATAGATCTGCCTTCTTCAATGTTGAGCTAAGTTTCGCTGCCCTGGCTGTGCAGCTTGGGTTTCACGGGGTGGGCAGGGGCGGGGTGGGGGTAGAACCTAAGACTCACAGCAGACACCTGTGTTTGGCAGCAAAGCATCAACCTCAAGGAATACGGACACCAGGGAACTGGGTTCTCTGACAGCCAAACCACAGCCAAACCCAGCACCTCTGTCTCAGAGAGGGAGGGAGCGCCCGCCCAGGGTTCCAGACTCACTCCTACTTTTTCCCAGGGAATGGGGGGCAGCAACGCTTCACAGTCCTGCCTCTCCCAGGACCCCGACACACAGTCTGCCCCAGCAGCTGCTTTGCACCCCACCCACATCCCTAAACATACCCCAGGCCCATGGACCACAGAACTGCACCCGCACCGCAAACGAACACGTCCAGCTGCAAACCCCACTGGCTGCAGGGGCACCCCCATCCCTCCTGCGAATCCTGAGGCTTCCTCGCTCCCTCCACTCCCGCCCTCTTCCCAGTTCGCACGCCCCAGCCTCCGCGGCCCTCGCCTCCCGGGGCCTGCCAGCATCCCTCCCGCGCGGGCCTGTTCTCCCGCACGCCTCCGCCCGGCCCCGCGCCCGCCGCCCCTCTTCCGGGTCCCGCGCCGCGGCCGCCGGCCTAGAGCGGCCTACAGCGGGCGGCCGCAGCAGGC